TAAGCCTTGAACCCGGCTTGAGCATCAACTTGATCATTGGAAACAATTTCACTCATTTTGGGAGAAAATTGAGAAGATAATGACTTTTTGGGCGAAAAGAGTAAGAATTGATACCAAATGGATGGATTGAAGATAATACACGAAGAATTGAATCTAATTGATGATGAAAATGATGAAATTGGAATGAAAATACCTTGGATTGAAGGACGGTAGAGAGAGACGGGAGGAGACGCCGGGAGAGAAAGGTCGCTGCAACCGATCGAAATGGTGCTGGTCTAGGGTTTTAAAAAAAAATTGACTTGTCGCGACGGTCGGTACCTAGGTACCGTGTTAACGGTATCTTGGTACCGTGTATACGGTACGCCATACCGTGTCCAACTACCGGGTAGCTTTAAAAACCCATTCTTCTCTGGCGGCACCTATTTTAGGACGGGACCGGGGTACCGTCAGGGGTACCGTGTCTCAGCTTCAAGTTTTGTTTCAACTTCTAGAAGCGTGTTTTGAGCATTTGGACGTGATCAATTTATTTTTATGATATAATGTGATAATAAGAACCTTAAATTTCACTTTAATTCAAGCATTCCCATTTCCCGACAAATATGTAAAAATTGTTTTTCATCCAATGGTTTTTTAAAAATATCGGCACGTTGTTCAAGCGTATTTACATAATCAATTTGAATGTCTCCCTTTGCAACATGATCACGTATGAAATGATGTCTTATTTCTATGTGTTTAGTTCTAGAATGCAAAACGCGATTTTTGGAAATATTTATTGTACTGGAGTTGTCACAAAAAATAGGCACTTTTGAAATTTTTAAGTTAAAGTCACCTAGTGTTTGCATCATCCACAAAATTTGAGCAACACAACTACCCATAGCCACATATTCCGCTTCGGCGGTGGATAGGGCGACAGAGTGTTGTTTCTTAGATGACCAAGACACTAGTGCATGACCTATGAATTGACATGTGCCACTTGTGCTTTTCCGATCAATACGACACCCTCCAAAATCGGCATCACTAAAACCTATCAAGCTTTGTAACGCCCCAAAATATACCCTAAAATTTATTGAATTAAATATTCAATTAAACAAAATTTGTTTTGATTAAAATAAATTGTTGTTGGGCTTTGGGCTGAAATAAAATATATATTGATATCCAATAAACATAATTGGGATAAATCTCATAGAGATAAATCCAACATGTTGATTTATTGTGTGATATTGATTGGGAACCTGAGTACAGACCCAAATTAAGAGAAAATGAAGAAATTGTTTATAATGTGAACTTTGAAATGATTTATTGAAATAAATCATGGAAATAAATAATATGAATTAAATGTGAGAACCTTTTTGAATAAAGGTCAATTAAACCAATTTTGACTCTGTCAAAGTCAACCACCCAAAAATATGATGTCG